TGCACATATTATAATTCAGCATTAATTTGTTTTCTGCTCTTACTAGCATTACCGAATCACCTACAAGCTCCACTAGGGCGTGTATAGGCATAGTTTGGCATAGCTATAAGTAGCGTACCCCCGTGAGAGATTGGTATAACTGCCACATATATCGACTGCCCTTCGAAAGAAGGATGGGAAGACGAGAGTGCGTCATTTGCAAAGAAGCAGCATAAAAACTATGAGAGCACACAACTTCAAAAACGGATGACGGCAACTGGGTACGTCTTATAAACCGTATAACCGTATATACAAAGTACATAATATATTTATGAAGTAGATAAACAGTTGATAATATAACAGTTTATGTGCGCTTGATGACATCATGAGGGAATAGAAACTATATTTCGCTCCTGGTAGTATCACGGGCACAGAGGCTTTCTTATAGTTACGTGTGCTACAAAGGTTTATGTGTTACGTACCTGCCGTATAAACCGAGTATATAATTGATAACAGTTCAAGTAAAACAACAGCTTCTTGTGATTTTTACATGCAGAATATCTAACGTGTGATTTACTAATGTAATATCTCTAGGACCGTAGTCTGAGTTAATTCCTAGTAAAGTGGAGAGACTGCTTAGGTATACCTCGAGAGGGGTGAAACTCCGAGTTAAGCGCATAGTGAGGCGAGGGTGGGTCTGATAAGTTACATACACTTTTACACACGTAGACCTCTACACTTATTTTTAGGGTTATTTACATTTATTTGGAAATTACTTTACGTGTCTTCTAAAACTAGGAACGGCTAGTCATCTTTTCCCCCAAAGGCTACGACCGTGTGAGTGGACCTGGAAACCTCTCAAATGTGGTATACCGAAACGAATATTCCGGCGGCTGCATAACTTACTTGTCCTGTTAGTTTGGGTCGCGCTCTATCCGTGATGTCGTACTGGCGTATGTCACCATGCACCCAGTTACTCAGGTACAGATATTTGTCATCCATCGAGATCAAAATATCCGTAACAATGCCTTCAAAAGAGTACAAAAAACAGTTATTGGAAATGCTACAAACTTGAAAGTTTCTTGAGTGGGAGCCATAGGACGTGTTGAAAAGTTTCACTAGAAATGTTGTCACAATATAGTATATACTTGCGCATTATCATCGCGTAAATATCCCAATATAGCATAATAATCATGAAATACCTGGCATCTCAGGAAACAACCATCCGTCTACCTTCTTCGGTGGAATAGCGATAACCTTCTCCGTTGCCCATTCTCCTTCCTATAGAAGTTACACGAGACACACACTGAATTTAATATATAAATATATACATATATATATATATATATATATATATATATAAATATATATACGTGGGTGTATATTTATTTATTTATATACATCAAGACGGAGGCAGCTAATTTACTCACCCAGGTAGAATTTTTCCTGCTTTTACTATGGTTTATTAGGAAATTCTTGGCAGCAAGTATTTGCTGCCGACGTTGAGAGCAGGCAGCAAACTGGCAATCGTAAGTAGGAAAATTGCTGCTTGCTGCCCTTAATTTCGAACCCTGGTGATGTTATGTCATTGCTGACATACTTTAACTGCTTTTGACACAGGTATCTTTCGCTCTCACTCGAGCAAGCGATGCCGTTGATAGAGTCCATGAATATTTTCGCGTATGCATCAAAATACCACGAAGGTCGACAGATGGCGTGGCAATACATTAAAGACTATTTCTACGAGCTGGTATCTAGGTAAGTTGGCGCAAAAAGAGAAGGAAAACCTACAAACGAAAAAAAAGAAAAGCGTGAAGCGCGCGCGCGCGTGTGTGTATGTGTATGTGTGTGTGTGTGTGTGTGTGAATATATATATATATAATATATAATATTAATATATGTAAATATATATGTGAAATATATCGTTCAATAATGTATGTAAATATATATATGTAATATAATAATATATGTATATATGATATACCAGTGGGCTACGCAGGGGGGTGTTTGGAGGTGGTTAAACACCCCCCTGCCTCTGTCCTAACAACACATTAAAACAAAAAAAGAGGAGAGGAGAAAAGGGAAGAGAGGAGAGAGAGATGAGAGGAGAGACTGAGAAAGGAAGTGATGGGTGTGCCTGTGATGTGTGAGAGAGAAGGAGAAAGAGAGAAAAATGAGAGGAGGGAGAGAGAGAGAGGGAGAGAGAGAGAGACGACCGAGAGAGGAGAGAGAGAGAGCTTGTGTGTACATCATAAATCATTGTGTGTGAAGAGAGGAACGGAGAAGAGGAAAAGAGGAAAAAGAGAGGGAGAGAGACAGAACGGGCCCTATTATCCGTTTTTAAGTTCTTAGTCATTCTGGTCAAACACCCCCCTTCGAGCCTGTATAAGAACAAGGTCACCGTAGATAACGACCAGGGTAACGGAGTGGATACATAATGAATGAGGATTAGGAACCCCAAAAGTCGATCTGCCTGCATGCCTAGCGTAATCGCGATGTCGTAACTTAAGGAATCTTCGCTTCTCATACTGCTACATCCATATACACTTCTGGTTACGTTCGCCTCGTTCAAAGGGACGATTTAATTGAGCTCCACGCAAATCGCGTAGCTCAAAAGAATATCCTCTACTTCTACCTGACAATAGACGAGTATTCTAAAACATGACATGAAACTGCGTTGAACGATTCCACGTTTTCTGTGCCATTCTTTCATCATAAAAAATATTTTGGAACTCTCGTTAGGTACGTAAAATGACGAAGAGTCGGATATCATTAAATATGTATGATACGCAGGCGGTATCTTTGAACTTCGTTATTTGTTTCTGAACCCTTTAACAAGTCCGCAGCGACAATTATTTCCCCGAAATGTCTGAAGAGCGGGCGGTAGACATGAACCAAAGGTATTTTTGGTCGCTTATTAAGCCAATAAATCGGATCGTGATACCCAAGGAACGTTAGTGATGACCAAATTTTCACGCAATAAGAGGTAATCGAGAAGAGTGAGCGACTTCGTATGTCGCCTGCTCCGCAATAGATAAAGATTACTTCGTTGCAGATCGATCCGAAATCAACTCGGCGGGGTAAGGTTCTGGGAATAGGCTCAAGGAAAGCACAATACCAGATATCGAGAAAACGTAGGAGCGGCGAAAAAATCT